AAAAAAAAAAAAAAAAATTGTCTATTTTCAAAATTATCCTCTTGATTTTTGAAACAATGCATTTGTAATTTGACTTAATTATTGTAAAATTTTAAAACTTATGGAAAAAAATCAAAGAGATAAATTTCAATTGATTTGAAATTCTTATACCAATTTGAATTTCGTGCAGATTGAAACAAAAAAAAAAGAAATTCATTATGATTTTTGTAATTTCCAAGAGGTTTGTTAATTTTAAAGCGGCACAAAATCCTTCATTTAAGGATATGGATAGAAGCATGAAATTAGATATTTTTTAAATTCAATTTGAACAAAATCCTTTATATTAGGAAATGATTTTGAATTAAATCCAATTTTATGGCAACTAAAATGAGAAGTGATTTTGAATTTCAAATTTTCAATTCAAGTTCTAAGGAAAATTTTTTCGGCAATCAGATTGTTTGGAATAAAAAACACAATCGAATTTTTAATTATGCTATTTTTAGTATGTAATTAATGATCTTGTTTCTAAATTTATAAAAAGGTTATTCTTTTTATAAAATAATAGAATAGATTAGTCATGTATAAAAAAAAAAAAGAAAAAAAAAAGAAAAAAAAATACGACAAATAACACAATACTATAATTTTGGAAACATGTGTAAAATTTGTGAAGCTATAATTACGTTTTTTGTTTTCCAAATCTATAATTTTAGGCTACATTTAATGCTTGCCAATTTGTTGTTTAAAAAAATTCAAAATACTTCCAAAAATGGCATGCAATTAATGTTATTAGATTTTCTACTTACTATTTTTAAAAATTGATAATTCTTTTTATATATATATAGATTAGATGATAGCTTAAAAAAAAATAAGTTAGCTTAAAGCTTATAATTGATAAGCCCAGCTGAATCAAAAATATCAATAAGACTTTGAAACATTACATAGAGAAGTATTTGAATAAATTCGAACTAGGCTAAAGAGTTTATTCTATCAAATAAACTTATTTGAATACAATAATTTTAAAAGCTCATTAAATAAACTATAATCCCGCTTATGACATCCATCAAACATACTTCACAACTTGCAGAGCCAATTCGATTAGTTAAAAAGGTTCGCGGCCCGCCGGGTCGACGGGCCTCAAATGCTAAACCCGTAACCGGTCCGACTATATATAAGGACTGGTTCATTGATTAACTGCCGGTTTTAAAAAAAAAATTAAATAAAAAATAAAAAAAATAGAATATAATTGTGACCCGTCGAAAAACCTAGGCCCGACCCGTGAACCGGTCCGGCCTGACGGGACAAAAAGCAGTACAACACGACCCGTTACCAGCCCTTAAGGGGTTCCGGGCCAGTTCAAAAACCAGCTAGGGCAGACGGTTCAGGTCCAGTTCACGGGTGGGGCAAACCGTGGCCATGTCTAGTTCTTATATTGATTTTCTAAGGCAATATAGCACTACCCATGTAATGCAAACAAATGTACACAACAAACATCTATTTTTTT